AGGTAGCGTACACACGCGTCTAATGGTAGCTTTTTCCCATGAAAAACAGAGCAATTAAAAGGAATGAGATTATGGTGGTCGTGCAATGTGTAGTCCACTGGGCTTTCTAATTGAGCCTTGTAGTGAGTGTTCGGTCAAGTGGTTTACTGGCTCGACTCAACTAGGCTTCGAACTATTCACTAACCATATGTATAATTTATATTGGCCGTGCAATGTGTAGTCCCCTGGGCTTTCTAATTGAGCCGTGTAGCGAGCTTTCGGCCACATGATTTACTGACTCGACTCAAAAAGGCTTCGAACTATTCACTGACCAAATGGTTGTAGATATATATATTAGTAACAGTAGTTCAAGAGTAGCTTTCACTCATTAAAAGAGGCAGCTTTTCCCTATAAAAACATCCAACCATGACAAGACTATTCAGAGAAATAAATAAGTTGGAGCCTTTTAAGTAATCATTTCGGGAATTGGTGAAGTTCTACCCCCACAAAGTTTAGAAGAACATGAAGTATCAAATTCACATTTGTCTCAATCATATGCAGTATGCTTAATGCAGGTCCTATATGAGATGCAAAAACATATGAAGTGTCCTACCACTAAAAGTTGCAAGTCTGGACACACAGACTGTTGCAACAGTTCATGCAACTGCATCAGATTAAGCAACATAAATTCCCAGCGATTTTCGCAAGGAATCAAATCTCTGTGCATCAAGGGTTTTTGCAAAAGCATCAGTTAATTCATTCTCCGTTGCAGCATAATCAATTGAGACAACCCCCTTTTCGACCAAGCCCCTTATGAAAAGATGACAAATATCAGTAAGCTTAGTTCTCGAATGCTGAATTGGATTCATAAACTTATTTTTCGCATACAAATTATCACAATTCAGATTACCAAGTTTTTTATTCCCCAAACTAGCTTTGTCACCAGAACTGTTGGAACAGTTAGTACTATCATCACAAGAGTTCAAAGAAGTAATGGCAGATAAACAATTAAGATCAGACTTCTTTACCCAGATTTTTTGTTGAGTTTTATTCACTAAATCAACCTTTATCTTGGGTTTTTGAGACGACACAAAAGTATGATCAATTTTAGCGGAAAGTGGTGAGCGGGCCATTATTCTTTTAACCATTTTCAAGTACTTAAAACACCTGGGTCGTATATGACCAGGAACATGACAAAAATGACAGGTAGGAACACAAAATTTTCTTTGAAATGGCTGTGTTGGTGCAACTGTCGCAGCAGTCTGTGAAACAGTGGATTGCTTAACAAAATTGGTTTTTCTTTTAGGATTTTCTTTCTGTTTCGATGCACCAGTAGATAGGTGGTTACCCCATATACCTATACGACAGTAGTTCGGCTGATTTTTGTTCAAAATTTCATTCAAAGTTACTCTACCAGTATTAAACTTAGAAATAACATCTTGGGTTTGAGCAAATTTAGCCTTCAAGCTATCTGTTTCTCTACTAGCAGAAATAACATTTTGTTCAAGAGTAGAAATTCGTACCTTCAATACTTTGTTTTCCTCAATTAGGACAAGCTTCTCTTTTTCTAAGAATTTATTTGACTCACACACCTGAAGAAATTTTTCGTACATCTTTTCATAGCATTGCTTTATTTCTTCCAAGGTTGACACGTCATCATCGCTGTTATTTTCTGAATCCCAATCATCACCTGCAAGATTTAACGGAATTGATCTTTTATCATGTATTGAATGCAAATTATCATACCTAAGGTCTCTCTGAACTGTCTGTCCAACTGTTGCAACATTTTCAGCGACAGTCTCTTTGTACTCGCTTATCTGAGTAGTTCCTTCGTAGGCCTCTTGTAGAACATCCCATGCCTCCTTTGCTTATTTGCACATTGATATCAATTTGAATTGATCGTCATCGATACAACTCAAGATAGCATTGGTTGCCTTGGAATTATAATCTGCTATCCGTACTTCTTCATCACTCCACTTCTCTTTTGGCGTTTGAATGATCTCGTGTGACTCATTCATTGAGGTAGGAGGTGTCCAACCAATTAGAATCGCGCGCCAGGCCCATTCATCAATAGATTTGATGAACATCTTCATCCTTATTTTCCAATCAGAGTAGTTCAATTCACCCAAGAGAGGTGGTAGGAATGCGCCTTCACGATGATTATTCATATCTCTGCACAAAAACATAAAAAATTAAATCCCAAAATCTCACTAAGTGTATCTAGTGATAGGCTCTTGATGCCAATTGTTAGAATTTATTTCGTGCAGATATAAATTATTTGTGTCAGATTCAGTTTTTCGTTACTGTTGCGTGAAGTGTTGCAACAGTTCGTGAAGCAGTTCGTAAAAACATAAATAAACGAGACACAAATTTTAATGTGGTTCGGATATAATTGTACCCTACATCCACGGGGACCTGCAAATAAAATTTAGTAATTTTTAGTTTTACGAATACAATAATAGGACTTAATCAAAATACAAAGACTCCCTCTTTGTTGACGCCGTTCTTGTATATTACGCTGAATTATAAATCTTCAATTTGCAGCACGTCCCTTGCTCCGCACGGTTGAACTCCCTTCAACGCTGAATCCCTCAGTCGGCGGATCGATCTCCTCCCGAGATCTGTTTAAGCCCCTCTCCCGAAGAACCGATCTTCTTTTTATATAGAAGAAGCAAACTTGTGATACTCCTTGAATCTTGGTGTCTTCACCACAAAGCCTTGAAGCCGATATATTTTCTATGAAAATCACGTATCACGATGGAGCAATAAAAACGAGAGGAAAAAAATATTTTCTCTTGAACTTCTCTCGATAAACAAGACGCTAGAAGAGCAGCAAAGAAAAAGCAATATTTTTCTCTCCAGCAGACACACGAACAGACGTCTAAAGCTTTCCTTTATATAGTTGTCAGATTGAAAATTCCCTGTACAAGAAAAGAGACCTATTAGGTAGGAGTTACGTACAAGAGATATATTAAATATAGAATTGTAAATCTCCAAGATATTCCTTCCTAATCTAATTCCAATTACTAACAATAAAATATATAAAAAAAAAAGATAATTATGCTTGTATAAAGATAATTCCCATTATTAATTAATTAATGATAAAATAAAGAATTAAAACACAAGGAAACTTCCCTTCTTATATTACGACATATCTAGACTTATGGAACAAGTCTTTTACACGTTTCCTTGCGAAGTCAGAATCCAACGGATTCTAATAATCACGATCCCGTGCTGCTCTCGTATATATGCTCGCCTACATTTTTTGATTCACTGTACAACAAGGAAAACCAGAGTCCATTAGGGTTAGGAAACTCTTAATCACGTAGGAAATAATATTTTCAATACAAAGAAACTCTTTAGAAGAATAATTCCTATTATAAATCAATTAATGACAAATTAAAAGAATTAAAAGTTTCGAGGACTCTTCCCTTCTTTAGCTCATGGTATATGTAAACTTGTGGCACAAGTTTCATCTAATTCTCGTATAATTAGAATCCAAGGGATTCTAACAGTAATTTTACCAAATTTTGAATAAATACAAAAAATACAAAAAATTAAACAAATTATAAAAAATTGAAATATAAAAAAAATTATAAAAATTACAATAATAATATTAAAAAAAAAATACAATATATATACATGAATGAAAAAAAATTATTAAAATTAAAAATTGTGATATATGTAGTACAAAAATACTAAATACAGGTTCAAAATGTTAAATGCAGTTGGTGAAAATGCTGAATGCGGTTGGAGGAAAATTGCATATGAAGGCACAATAACACTTTTGCCTCTCCAAATGATATCTCAAAAAAAGAATTTTAGGGGTGGATCTATCCCTATATATTTTCCATATGAGGGGCGTATATCTAATGTACCCTTGAAATAAATTACTTATACGCCTTGCAGCTAATCTAGAAATATTCTTTTTCAATAAAACTTAACATATGAAAAAATAAAGTAACAATAATTGCTATTTCATAATGAAAATTGTCAATCACATTCTCTATCTATTTATAATCAATAATCCAATACTTATTTTATAGAAAAAAAACCACACTTAACATGAATTTTGAATATAAAATAGAATAATCTATATCTATATAATATATAATATATAAAGACAAGGTACACAATTGATGTTTTCAAATCTCCAATTTTAACCCATATTTATTTCATTTATTTCATTTTTTGACTTATTCCCTTAATTAACATTATTACATTGTATTCTTTATTTGTTTACCTTATTTCAAAACATTTATGTATAAAATAAAATTATTTACATTTATGATCTACATGGAAATTAATATGATAACAATATAATTATTTATTTTACTATAATTTATTACAATATTGTTATTTCTAATGTTTTACATTTACAAAATATAAATATTAGTTTATGTTAAAAATTGGATATTTTTCCTAATATTTTATAATATGTTCTTTTGAATTTCAAAATTTACATTTTAATTTCTTTTATATTTAAATACACGTGTTTAAAGATTATACTTCCACCAACCACCAAATCTGCATTTTTCATTTTTTAAAATTTTTGACTTTATGTTTTTTTATGATTTTATTTCAATAATTTTGGAATATATTTATTTCTTTATTTTCATTATTTTGAAAAGAAAACTAGAAAACTCAATAATTTCAGTTTTGTTTTTGAAAAGAAAACTCGGTATACAAAAATTTGTGGGCCCTGTTCTTTTCTCCCTTTATTTTTCCTTCTCTCTTTGTCTCTCTCCCTCATACGCACACACATACAAACATTTATTCTCTAATAATTGAATCTTTCTACTCATGAAATTTAGTTTGATGCTTTCTGCAATTTGCTTTGAACTATAATTTAGTTTATCTCTAATAAGTTGACTTGGAGAACATTGTTAACAATTTCTTTTTTTAACTCCTTGTCTTTGTCAAGAATTTCTGATTTTTAAGATTGATGCTCTGTTTCTCCAAATATTACTCCAAAAAAAAGTAAAAAAGAAATACATAAAGAATTCATCATGAGCAAGAATTTATTCACATTTCTCATCACAAAGGTTATGATTCATCTGTTTCTTTACTCCTTGAATATTAAGCCCAGCAAGAAGTGGAAAGAAATCGAAAATATTCGGCTTTCCAAACAAATCAACAATCTTTGGTGCCACGACCAGAAACTCAGATGCAATTCCTTCACCCTCTTCACCTATAAACTTCCCACCCCACAACATGTTCATCATAACCTTTAGTTCGGTTCGGAAAATCAAGGGCCCCATTTCGACGGGTTTTTCATCATGGTCGTTGCGAACATTATAGAATAAGTCGAGAATTTTGATGTTCATCATCTCTTGAGCGAATACATTTCTCATCGCTCGCCACTGTGGATTGAGCTGGGAGAAAACGACGTCGTTTGCACCATAAGTGGCAACAATTGCTACAACAGGAATGTCCCGATTAGTGAAAATGGAGTCTTGATCTCGAACCACCTCTTTTACAACACACAGTTTGTTCCTAAGAGAAATCCTGAATATTGTACCATATTTGTGCCTCAAATCTAAGAAATTTTGAAATAAAATTGTTGCCGAAAAATGACAAATATCCGAGAATTGAAAGCCCAAGGGGACCTGGTGGCAAGGGAGGATTTTTTTGCTGCTTCGTTTGTAAGACTGTGCGTTTGAGAAAAAGAAAGAGAGAGAAAGAGAGGAGAGAGGAGAAAGAAAGAGAGAAAAGAACAGGGCTCACAAATTTTTGGAGTGGAAAATACAAAAAATCCTTACATTAAGCATGTGCAACGCACGTGCGCCGGAATATGAGAAGATTTGCCGGAATATTCGCCTGAGGTGGTTATGTGCGTAAAAAATGAAGGTTTTGGTGTACCCGTGCAACTTTTTTTAGTTAAGGTGGCAAAGTGCAAAAACGGAAAAAGTTCAGGTGCAAAAACGTTGAAGAAGGTAACCTGGCAACGAAATTTTCCAACTCCCAAAATCCACTCACCCTCATTGAGAACAATGACTTGAATTGGAGTTACCTGCAAATGGAAGAATCTTGCCCATATGTACCAAATAAAAGTTGCGTTGCCAATTTACAAAGGTATAAGATAATAAGGCCACCGAGATAAAATAAAAAATAAAAAAATATATGTATATGCCCACAAAGACATGAAATCTTAATAAAATTATGCGAGGAAGAAAAAAAAATAATAAGTAGCCAACAATTGTTTGACAACTTTCGTGAATGTCAAAAGGAATTTTGCCAATTTTTGGTGAAGAGAACATGATTAAAAAGAGTCGTAAATCTAAGGAATAGCCAAAAATAAGAAAAAACAAGAAGTTGTAAAGATTAAAAGTGAAGTGGTTTGTATACCTTGCATGTTGTATCAAATGCTAAATATGTATTAATATGATTTATTTATATGATTTTTTAAATGTTTGTTATTCAATAAATCGTAACTGATGAATTTAATTAATATTGGACTATAATAACTTATAAAATGTATCAACAATTTATAAATTAGTAAATAATGTTAATGAATTTACATATTTGACCTTTTATTCTTGCATGGGGTATTTTGGGAAGTAAAAAAAATGGAAGAAACATCCTACCTATTCACATTGTTATAAGTAAAAAAAAAAAAAAACAAAAAAAAAAAAGGTACAAGTATAGAGTATAAATATAGATATAGATTGTCTCAAATACCATTATTAATAATTGTATTGTTAGGTTGTTAATAAATGTTCCTTCAAAGATCCATAAAGTACGAAATGATAATAAAACATGCTTCATGGATCTTCGAAGGAAACAAAATGCGTTGTAAATATCAAACGATAACTATTAGTGAACCAGATAAGGATTTTATTTCCATGGACCCTAAGATTCTCCAATTCTAACAAAACTATCAAGTATAATGTGTCGCGACTACAAGCAAAGGAAATTTCAGATGGGCAGTTATTCCAGCGGATTCAGACACATCCAAATCATTCTTCTTCGCCTGATCGGGCAAATCAAAGTTGAATTTGTGCACCAATTTTGCTATTGCAAGCTCATTAAGTACGGTTGCATAAGCAATACCCGGGCAGCCTCTCCGACCCGCCCCAAATGGAATCAACTCAAAATGCATACCCCTGAAATCTATGTTGTTATCAAGAAATCTTTCGGGGTTGAAATCTTCTGGATTTTTCCACAACAATGGATCTCTTCCAATCGACCAAGCGTTGACTATGACTTGTGTGCCAGCTGTAACATCGTAGCCCATCACTTTTGTGTCTTGAGTTGACTCGCGAGTGACGAGCAATGGAACCGGTACATGTAGTCTTAGAGACTCTTTGAACACTGCTTTGAGATAGTGTAGTTTCTCTAAATCATCCTCTGTTATCTCTTCTTTGTTTCCGGCTGCTTCTCTCACTTCCTTTTGCAATTTTTCCATTGTATTTGGATGTTTTAGAAGTTCGGCCATCGTCCACTCCATCACAGAATATGTTGTGTCGGTTCCATCGGCAAACATGTTCTGTAAAAATTATTTGGAAGATAGTGAAACAATTAAATAAAAAAAAATTACATAAAAAAAAAAAAAAAGGAATTGTTAATTTACTAGGGAGAATCTTTCACTGGCAATGGAGCCTTATTTTTTTCGCTTAATAATAGAGTTCATGTCACAATCTCAAACAAAAGGTTTACCTATAAGATAATGTCATACCCTTTGGCCTCGTTTAATTAGTGATTAATTACTTAATAAGCAAATTATTCCATTATAAGTTGCCGGATCCTAAAATAAAGTCGGGCTTCAAACTACGACAAGAAAACCTAAATGAAATATCGGTCTCGATTAGAGATGAAAGCCGGATGGATCAGATCAAAACTATCTTTTTCATAAAAATTTTAAAAAATTTTGAAAGTACAAAATCAATTCTAATTCAAAAAAATTCGGAATCTAAAAATTTATTCTAAATCCAAAAGACCTGGAAATTTAGGAATTACGGTGAAAAAAATCATAAATCAACTAATTTTTAAAATTTCAGAACTTTGCGGAAATTTTCTAAAAAATTCATAATTTTCCAACAATAAGAGCATCCACGTGAATAAAAGTAAAACTAATAAGTTAATAACTATTAAATTTCAGTTCAAAAATAAATAAATTAATAAACCACATCATAATATCCAATAAAACATCTAAAAACAATTCAATATGTCAAAATCTTAAAACAAAACTTAATCAAAATACTGTTTCAGAAAACAAAAATAAAAAAACTTCAAATAAGTATTATATAATATATATTATTTATAGGTGTAGTTTTCGAAAGAAAATCGGAATTTTTCAGTATTAAATCGGATCGGAAATCGAAAATTCCATTTTTTTTATATATATAATTCTAATCCAAAAAAAATCGGAAGAATTTGGAAATTCGAATTTCGAAAGTCGGAATGAAAAATATTGTTCCAAAATCGGAACTTTTCAAATCGAAACCGGTGGAAATTGGAACTTCGGTTCCAACTTGCACCCCTAGTCTTGACTCTTGATTATAGGCTATAGCAATATATTAAGACCAAACAACCCTACCAAACGGGCCTTAATTTTGCCGTGTGTCGTCCCAATTTAATTTCCCGGATTTACGGTTCTTTTTCGTCTAAATTCCCAAAGGAGGCAATTTTTTTTTTTTTTTTTGTCTAAACTAATCTACATGTATCTGAATGCAGATATAAACATAGAGAGGTATAAAGTGAGAAACAGAGTATATATTCTTACAAGTAGGATAGCCTTGATAGCATCATCTCCAATCGTCGATATTCCGTCTTTTTCGTTTTCTTGCTGAATTTCGAGCAATATGTCCACAAAATCTTTACTCGTCCCTCCAACATCGATAGATCTATGCTCCTCAAGTACACTCTCCAAGAATCGGTCGAACCACTTAGCCAATTTCTCCACTTTACCATTTAAACCACTCACCCGATCGATCCACGCCAACCAAGGAATATAATCCCCGACGCAAAACGTACCCAACATCTCAACTTCTTCGGTCAACATATTCTTAAACTCTTTGCCCTTGTCACTATTGCTATATTTTCTCCCTAACGCCACCCGACAAAGCACATCATTCGCTAGCAAAGCCAACATATCGCTCAAGTTTACAACCGAATTAGAATCCGATAGTCGACCGATATTCTCAACCATGAGACAAGTTTCTTGTTCCCTCACGCTGCGAAAAGACTGAACCCTCTTCGGGCTCATAAGTTGATTGACGCATATGCCCCTCATCTTCCTCCAGTAATCTCCGTAAGGAGCGAACACCACATCCTTCGAGCCGTAGAATATTCTATTCGGAATTGCTAATTTGGGACGGTTTGAGAAGATTGAGTCCTGGTTCTTCATTATCTCACGTGCTGCATCGGCCGACGAGACGACAAGGACCGGTACACGGCCGAAACGGAGAAGCATGAGCGGGCCGTGTTTTGTAGAGAGAGATTGGAGTGATCTGTGAGGGGATGGGCCCACTTGGTGGAGATTTCCGATCACGGGGAGTTTTTTCGGAGATGGCGGTAGCCTTTTCTTGGCTTGTTGATTATTGCAACTTTGCCATTTGTAAAGGAAGATGAGGAACAAAGCTAAGGGAAAAATTGGGATCAAGAAATGGGAAAAGGAAGCCATTAAAATCAAACAAGATCACTATGTGTGGCAATGTAATATATATATATGGATAGATATGCGTTTATAAATATCTAAAGTTTGAAAATTAGTCAAGTAGATGATTTGGCACGTCGTGTAAGAGAAATAATGGAAGTCATCAAAGAGTAGTTAAAGGTTAAATCGGATACCAAATGTTAATCATTTGTTTGCAGTAGTGAATTAGATAATAGTACAATTTTTTGTAACGATAATTGGTTTCAATTACATCACGCCGATTGCAGCGCGTATATGCTGAAGTTCGGTTCGCTAACACAAAAAATTGCAAAAACCACCCCTGTATTATTATTATTATTATTATTATTATTATTATTATTATTATTATTATTATTATTATTATTATTATTATTATTATTATTATTATTATTATTATTATTATTATTATTATTATTATTATTATTATTATTATTATTATTATTATTATTATTATTATTATTATTATTATTATTATTATTATTATATAATAATAATAATAATAATAATAATAATAATAATAATAATAATAATAATAATAATTGAGATGATTTCACAATTGAAAACTATAGGGGCATCGACAGCATTTAATTAACTTTTTTGTTGTATTCCATTATAGCAACTCCAACCCACAAATATCAAAATGAATTATTAAATATTTATTTGATATTTTATATTTTAGTTTCATACCTAAATAATTTGCTCCAACCATAGTTATCAAATAGTTGCTAATTAAAAATAAATAACATGATTATATATTTTAATTAACACTTGTCATTTTCTAATTGGTTATTAAGGTGGTTAAGTTATGTAACTTCCAATTGATATTATTTCTTCCGGATGTATTTTTACATCCCAAAAAATAAAATATCAAAATAGAAATTTATTTGATAACTCCATTGGTGTGAAAAAATTCTAACTTAAATTATAAAAATGGTAGTTAAGAGTTTTAATACCACATTTAATAACTCCATTGAAGTTGCTCTTAGTCTATTTATCCAATTTATGTTTCCTGAAAGAGTTTTTTATTTCGAATTTATCTTTCGTCAAAGATTTGTGCAGTTGATTAACAATGATAAGGACACCGATAAATGCAAATACTATTATAGTTGCTTTCATCAGCAGTCACAAGCTAACGCGTCTTATTATCGACACATAACCTTTTAATTACATAATTACAGTATTTAGTAAATCTAATTTATATCCGACTATGGTACAATTTCTTTAGCAAATAATCCATAAGTGGTGCATGTTTAGGAATATTTTGCTAATAAAATTGAATAATCGTCAGAATTTGCTAATATTTATAACACGTGAGTTTTTTCGAAAATTAGAAAAAAAATATGTTACTAGATACAAAAAAACTCAAATTACGTAAGATGTCTTTGTTTTTTGTTTATGTTTTATTTAAGCACTAATTTATTTAGTGGCGAAGCCAGGATCTCATCACTCGAGGTAAATATATATTAAAATTATTAAACATTACAGGAGCAAAATACAAATACTATAAATTATATATACATGTATAATAGTTATGAAAAAAACAAATTGAGTGGGGGCCATGGCCATCTCTTTCTACATGGACTTCCCCACTGAATTTATTAAGTTATTTGCATTATTTCTTGGGTAAATTACAACCACCCCTGAAGTATGGTCAATTTACGAAAAAGCCCCTCTTGTTTGGATAATTATATCTACCCCTCAGCTATGATTTTTTCTTACATCACCTTATGGTGTCAAATTCAACATATCATCTAGATTTCGTGAAATATGCTCTAGTTTGTACTCGTTTTGTGTAAAAATACAGTTTCTGATGCACCACAATCTGATATATACAAGCTTAAAAACACATATTATGATCATCTTCCTTTAAAATGTGGAGTTCGGATAGGATAAAACGAGTACAAAAGTGATAATAATCCATATAATCTCGAAAATTCCATGAAATTTGAAACCGCAAGAGTGGACGTGTAAAAAGATTTGTAGTTGAGGGGTGGTTGTAATTATCCAAACAAGACGGGTTTTTTTTGTAATTACACCAGCCCTCAGGGGGTGAATGTAATTTACCCTTATTTCTTTTGAATTTAAAGTTTAAACCTATATAGAGTTTGCAGTCACTGGCTTTCATAAATATGATTTGTGTCACCACCTCCATTGGCTAAATCCAAATGAAGGCTGACAGTCATAGTACGTAACTTAGCTTTCAGTTTTACTTTATTGAAATTAATTGTGAGGTCGACTACCAACAATAGACCCCCACACTCTTTGAGAAAAAAATAGTTATATCATTTATTCAACAACAAAATTTATATGGGTAAATTACAACCACCTCCCTGAGGTATGGTCAAATTACGAAAACCCTCCTCTTGTTTGGATAATTACAACCACCCCTCAACTCCTCAAATTTGGTGGAATCTTCAAGATTATATGAAATATTATCACTTTTGTACCCGTTTTATCTCATTCGAACTCTACATTTTGAAGCAAGATAATCATAATATGTGTTTTTTTGGCTTGTATATATCAGATTGTGGTGCATCGGAAACTGTATTTTTACACAAAACGAGTACAAACTAGAGCACATTCCACGAAATCTAGATGATTATGTTGAATTTGACACCATAAGGGTGGAGGTGTAAGAAAAAATCATAGTTGAGGGGGTAGATGTAATTATCCAAACAAGAGGGTTTTTTTTTTGTAAATTGACCATACCTCAGGGGGTGTTTGTAATTTACCCAATTTATATAAGCAAGAAGTTTATTTAATTTAACAAACATAATTTGATGTGAAGAAATAAAATATCATGATGATATGCATAATTGAGCCAACTCAATGGGTCTACAATCTATTTACCAATTTATTTACTTATTGGGTCACGAGCCCAATATTGAAGACCACTACCACCGAGGCTCAATCACCTTCAAATAAGGTTTGAGCCCAACAATCACAAATAAGGTATAAATAACGATTTAATTCATTTATTAAAGGTACGCCCTATTATGTGAGTAATATGACAATTCGTAATCTCTCAATTATTTCAATATCCGCACGTCTGACCTGAGCGTCGGAGGGGTTTCCGCTGGATCAACCTCCGGCCTAGTTCACGTGTTCTCTATTCCCAAGTATCTCAGGGCCATCTAGCGCGAGCATTGATCCACCTTGCTCTCCCAGCTCCTTCTATCTCAACTACTTAAGGTGATCTATTTCTAGTATCATCATAATGGCGCCGAATGTGGGAAGGCATACAAGATCACGTAGCTCTCATGATGTCTCTGAGTCATCTACTCGGAGAGAACGTGTCAATTCTAACAACCTCCAACCTCGCGGAGGCTCTGACTTGCCACTTTCTCCTCGTAATCGAGATCCACCTCATGATGTCCAGATAAATCCCCGCACTTGGGATCCAACACAAGTTCGCCCTCGCGAGGCCCCATTGGATCCTCAATAGGATCAACTTCTACTTTGCTCCTCGAACGGTTCAGATAACCGAAGAGGAACGACCACCAAACAAGTGTGTTGTGAGCATCCACTTCGCACCATAAGTCTTGAATGCAACAACCCAAAGGGATTCACATGTCATCTCAAGAGATGAGTATAATCTCTCCACCCAAAATTAGAACATCCTCTAACGGGTGGACATTGTTGGGCTAAATACCTAACACATAAGTGCACGTATCGCAAACAAGTAGTAAAAGTGGACTCGTGAGAGTCGGATGTCGATCCCACATGGAATACTCAAATTATCTAATCCTAAGTACCAAATTCTAACAATTATGATTTTTATCCAGCCTACGCAAGGTTGTCAAATTTAATCAACTAAATAATTAAACTAATTATGAAAGCAAATAATCACGAAAAATATCAATATAAAAACGGATCTAGGATTTTATCTTCCCTCTATGCGATAATTCTTCACCTAATTAAACCTCTATCATGCAAGTTACGATTCCCGATTATTAACCCGAGACACTCAATTACTCATAACCCGCTGTCGCGTGTATTACGAGTCTATTATTTATAACCGATTCACTATATGTCTATGCAAATCAATTATGAATAAAGCATTAAATAACAAGTTTCGTAAACGGCTACCTAAGGTATTATCTATATGTCTACGAAAATACATGCAATTAACACACTCATCCGGTGAAAACTACTCGAAGGCTCTTCTTTCCCTATTCTAATTATTAAAACGATCTGTCAATCAATTCTAATAATAACATATAGCAACATAAATTAGCTAGGTTCATGCGCTAAATAAGATCAAATAGAAGAAATAATCATGGAATTTAAACTTGCATAATATTAGAAAAATAAGTTTGAATCACCACATAGGGTTCCGACGAAATCATAGATTAAAAGGTTAGCTACTCGTGTTCTCTACGAAAAACATAATAAAAATAAGAAAATTCATAAAAGTCGAAAAGAAGAGTAAAGGAAGAACTATGATGAAGATTCGTCAAGTCTTCGTCTTCGTTTTTCCGTTCTCTTGCTCCTAGATTATGTGAAAAGTACCCACAATTTGTGCTTGGTCTTTGCCCTTTTATAGATATCTCAACTTGGTAGAAGATTTAGGTTTCCTTGTATGATTAAAAGTCCAAAATTGGTGGATGCATTTCCATTCTAACTCGTACTCCTCATCGTTGGAGAATTCGGACCAAATTGGGGGCCCATCGCATAATACCTCTCCGAGTTGGTCTTTTGTTACTTCGGTTTGCAATTGTTGCCAATTGAACGCCTCATATTTGATTTTGTAGAAGGAGTTAATGGCCTTGGCACTCCAATCCACTTTATTCCCTCGAACCTTGCTCGCCATCCTATCCGAAGTTTGGTGGATACGGTGGTTGGCATAGAACTCGCGGACTAAGGACAAATTGATCGAATCCGCCGGTTCTAGCAATGAGTGCCACCCTCGTCTCACGAATTCTTGATTATATGGTTCAAATTGCGACAAGGTAACCGTGTATGCTCGCTCCGTTACAAGTTTCTTCACCGTTTGTTTGTTAAAAAGGACTTTGGAGCCTTCAACACAAAATGCATTGTCATTGGGAGTTGGAATTTGGGCGGCTTTCTTTCCCGCCTTTCGAGGTTCCTTCTCTGTCTCGTCCTCTTTTTCCCATGGTGTTGAGTATGCCTTTTGGAAGGTATTTGAGATGAATTGGTGTGTAAAATTTCCCCCAAACTTGACTCAGGCAAATCGTCGAACACCTTGTGGTCGTTCTTTGTTGAATGGGTGTTTTGAGAATTTGGCA